GGCATACGCATCGGGTGTACAAGGAACTACACTGTATCATCAGTGGAGGCGATCAACAACCGGAGTCCACTATATCAGTAGCAGGAGCGGGATCGGAAACAAGAAAACCACAACCGGAGTCCTCTATATCAGTAGCAGGAACGGGGTTGGGACAGGCAGTCGTACCACGAGCAAACTTACTCCTACAGTAGGAAGTACTTTCATCAAGACGAAGAAAATACAGCTGGAACGAGCAATGGAAACTGCAACGAGCAACACAGGAGGTGGAAGCGTGTTCGCCAGCGATAGTTCTACGAACCTGGCAGCCGTGATCAAAGGCCTCAAGAAATTCGACGGAAAGGACCCAGCTGAGTTCAAGACTTGGATGAAGAAATTCTGCGTGGTGTTAGGTGTGACCAGGAAGGACATCCTGCCACTGCTGAAGAAACAAAGGAAGCCAGATCCCGCAGACACAGCGGCCTTCGATTCTTACACAAGGGCAAACGAAGATCTCTACGCCATTCTTTTCCTCCTAGTGGAACTTCCAGCCACTTTGTGGATACAGGAGCACGAAGACGACACTGGCATCAGCGGCGACGGACAAGCTACCTTCGAGGAGCTCTGCAACAACTATGACAGGGTAACGGACGAGGTCATCAGGGCCAAGATGGAGGAGCTGGAGAACAACCCCATGAACCCTGGTGAAAATCCCGACGACCAGAAGCACCTACTTCGCACCCAGCTGGATAAGATGGGAGAACCCATCTCCGACCGCCGCTTCAAGGACATCTGCGTACAGGGCTTCTCCGACGAATACAAGGACGTCAAACTGATGGTGTTCAGAGACCCAACCTTCAACGTCCTGGACATGCAATCCACCATGCGCAACATCTTCTTGGACGAACAATCGCGCAAGGGATGGAAGGGACGCATAGCTGGTCGAGGATTTGCCATGGCAACGACCGCGTCTGACATCATCTGCCACAGCTGCTACGAGCCGGGGCACATCAGGAGGAACTGCCCCAAGATCAAGAACAGGGCGAAGAAGAAAACGAAGCCCGCCGGAGCTGCCAAGCGGTGCTCCAAGCACAACACCACGTCTCACTCAGACGAGGAATGCTACCAGCAACGAGGAAAGCGCTCGGAAGACACCAAGGACTCAAGTAAAGCATTCACCGCGTGCTCCAACTGCACTCACTGCTCGTCGGCGTCCAACAAGCACGACTCAAACAATGAAGTGGCAGTTGTCGACTTCACCCGGGACGAGGACGCCTTTGACAGCGGCTTCATGTTCGGCACGTGTTCCCGCATCTCAGGACGCAACTTCGCCGCGAGCTCCACCGGGGTAGGCCTGCTGGTAGACACGGGAGCATCGGAGACCATGTTTGACAATCGCCTCATCCCCGACGGAAACCTCCACGATTACACCCAGCGAAACTCTCCAAAGATCGTGGACGTGGCCGGAGAAAGACAACTCAAAGGCACGGCCACGGGCATCCTACACTGCACCGTCAAGGACAATCGAGGACAGCAATTGCGCGTGCGGATTCAGGGACTCATCGTTCCGGGACTTGGTCGCAACATTTTTTCGCCCACCTCCCTCCTGGAAAGGGGATTGCGCTGCGTCGTCGAAGAGAGCACGCCGCACCTCACTATCCAAGGCAAGGTGATTCCACTCACACAAGATCCGCGAGACCAAGGCATGTGCACCCTCGACATCACGTTCGAGCAGAACGTCCAGCCATCTGGCACGAAATCCCTCGTGCCCCACCAGAAGCAGTCACAGACCCACACGGCGAACGCCGTCTGCTTTGCGCTAGTGAGCGCGGACACCTGGCACAGGAGGCTTGGACATCTCAATGCTCGGAGCCTGGACATCCTTCGGAAGGACACGGGTACCGGGGTGGACTATCGCCGCAGCGGCAAGAGGCTACCGGATCGAGGCCATCCGCTGCGACAAGGGAGGCAAGAACACCGGATCCGAATTTCGGGACTACTGCAAGAGCTATCAAGCTCGAATACGCCGCCACCAACACCCCTCAACAAGTTGGTGTATCGGAAGGGGACGGACAAACCCTGGCCGGAGTCACCCGGTGTCTTCTGAAGGATGGAGATTTTCCGCCGTCCATGTGGGGGGAGTTAATGCTGACTGCAGCATACCTGTTGAACAGGTCCCCACACTCAGCACTGGGAGGAGCTACGCCATACTCGAAGTTGCACAATAAGTCACCTGATCTCTCGGGACTTCGGGTCATTGGAGCGCGCGCCTTCGTACACCACGAGAGATACCGAAAGAAGCTGGACGACAGAGCTTTCGAAAGCAAGCTATGTGGTTTCGGCCTCGACAGTCAGACCTACCGGGTATTGAATCCATCGAAAGGGGCCGTGGTCGAGAGCCGGGATGTGACTTTCATCGAATCTCCACCCCGGTCAGTGCCCTTCCAGTATTCCACTGAAGCAAACGGGTACGAGAGCGACGTGCTGAGCTTCACCTCCCTGCTGGACAGCCCCCACTCGACGAGCGACCTGGACTTCACGGCGCAGAACGAACTCCTTCGGCAAGAAGTCCGGAAGATGCAGCAAGACAATCTCGCTCGGGAGAAGCTTCGCCTAGAACTGGACGGGCACGAGGACGAACATGGAAACGGGCAAGATCTCGGCGACGGGGACGCTCCATCACCACACCTTCCATCAACGCCAGCTGGACCGTCATCCGAGACCCACGCATCTAGCCCCAATCCATCATCGTCGAACCCGACTGAACCCGACACTTCTGCATCAACTGGATCCTCCGGCATGCGGCGCCTGCAAGTCACCAGAGCCAGCACGCGCGGGAAGCCCACCAGCGACGATCATATCGACGTCAACTTGGTTCCTGCCAATCTGGAAGTCACCATGAACGACCGCGGTCGAGCCCATGCTACAACGGGCCGCGTGGAGCCATCCGGTCTTTCCTTCACTCAGCTGGCTGAGATAGCCGATCAAGCCCAGCTCCCATGCCCTGGCGATACTGAGGATTTCGCCCACGTTGCGGAAGACCCCTTCACGGTGCCGCGTGCTCACGCCTACGTCACGACCACTCACGAACACCACGGGATCTTGGAGGAGACTAATCAAGCGATCAAAATCCCCAACACCTACGACGAAGCCATGAGCTCTACCCAGCGCGAAGAATGGAAAGGAGGGTGCAGCAAGGAAATGGACAATCTGCGGAAACACAACGTCTGAAAATCTGGTGCCCCTCAGCAGCGTTCCCAAGGGAGAGATCATCCTCGGAAAATTCGTCTTCAAGAGAACGCTGGACGGACGCTTAGCTCGCCTGGTATTCGGAGGACATCGTCAAGAGCCAGGGCAAGACTACGGACGCAGCTACGCACCAGTATGCCGTATCCGAAGCATTCGCGTGACGTGCGCCATTGGCTGCCACAACAACTGGCCCATTTACCAACTGGACGTTGTCGGTGCCTTTCTGAACGCCCTCTGCGACAGAGATGTGTACGTCAGACCCGCCCCCGGTACATCCGCCAAGAACTCCGCGACGGGAGAACCCATGGTGTACAAACTAGAACGGAGCCTCTACGGCCTATCGCAGTCGCCTGCGCTCTGGAACGACACCCTGGACGAATCCCTCACGGTGTTCGGATGGAAAAGGACTCAATCCGACCCCTGCGTGTACGTGTATACCAGCGGCAACATCATCGTGATTCTCACGGTCTACGTAGACGACATTCTCATCACAGGAGGAGACCAGCAGCTCGTGGACCAGAAGAAGAAGGAGCTCACGGGTGGATTCGAGATGACCGACATGGGAGAGGTAAAGCGGATCCTCGGGATCGACGTGCAGCGGGTCTACGAGCAAGGAACCCTGGCCATTTCACAGGAGCACTACGTGAACACGCTTCTGGAGCGGTTCGGAATGCAAGAGGCCAACCCAGTGAGCACTCCTGGATACGGAGCGCAAATCTCCACGAATCAACCTCAGGACCAAATCCTAGGACCCACGGACAAGAAAATCTACCAGTCGATGACAGGAAGCATCCTCTACCTGGCCCAGTGCACGCGATTCGACCTCTCCTACGCTGCCCTACAACTTTCCAAGGCCTGCAGCAACCCAGCGCAGGTGAACATGACAGCAGCCAAGCACGTTCTGCGATACCTTCGGGGTAATCCAGTTCTTCCTATCGTCTACAAGAGAGGACAGTTTCGGCTAGCGGCGTTAACGGATTCATCCTTCGAAGCAAACCCCAACAACGGAAGATCTACCACGGGATATCTCTTCTTTTTGGCTGGAGGACTCATCAGCTACGGTGCGAAGACTCAAACTCTGTCCGCGCAAAGCACGGTCGAAGCCGAAATTCAAGCACTTAGCTACTCAGCCAGAGAGGCGGTCTACATCTCAAATTTTATGACGGAACTCAACTTCAAGACCTTCGGATCGGTTCCCATCAACAGCGACAGCACCGGAGCGCTGACAGTGGCCGGGAATGCCATGCACTCTCAACGCACGAAGCACGTGGCCCTGAGGTACTTCTTCATCCGGGAGCTAGTACAGCGGGGACAAACCGCTCTTCACCACCGGCCCAGCGAGCACCAGTTGGCTGATATCGCGACCAAGTACCTCCCAAAGCACCGATTCGCCTCCATCATTCAGCAGATCAAGGACTTCT